ACACAGGTGTGCCTACTTAACCAGTAGTGAGCCAGCCCACAGGGCAAATAAACCTGACAAGTTCAGCAAGTCGAATCAGTTAACAACAAGTGAGGGGAGGTGAAGCTCTATCACCTGCCATGAAAAGCAAGGCACTCTCCGCACAGCAAGCTGTTAGACTGACATGGCCATCTCGTGAAGCCTCGCCTTGGACAGTCCAGTCCTAGCATTTTAGACTGGAGAAAGCGATGAAAGGCCAACACTAGAAATCATAAAGAAGTGGCAGAGTCCACAGAACAGGCTGACCAGCGCCAGGAATCAGACTATTCACCTGCACATACTGGATGCGTTTTCTGAAAACCTAAGAGGAAATGGCCTGGGAAACAGCGCCCTGCTGTAACACATGACTGTGAGGAAAACAGTTGGCTAATGAGAAAAGACTACAGCTAGTGCCATTACTGCCATGGATAGCTGTTGCATGCAGCTATTTTGGCTGAGCAGCAGCTGCTGCGACACTTTTCTGCCCAACCTCCATCTGTACCTGACCGCTTCTAAGCAGAGAGATGGCTTTTAAAATGCATGAAAGCTTAAAACAGACAAGTAACAATTTCTACTAGGCTGCACTTATTAAAGAAAAAAGGATTATAGGCTTCCTTTTCAAGAGGGCAGCTTTCATTTAACTACATTGCATCAATAGTAAAAGTCTCTTGAGTTCCTCTCATTCAAGCAGTAAGCCTTTTTTTTCCAGACAACACAGATTACACGAAGTGGGAAAGCTACCTGAGAATCTTAGGTCTGCTTTCCTGGACCAATCCCTCTGTGATTCACTATCTTAGGAGAGGAGAAGAGAAAGGATATAAAGAAGGAAACGAATTTGTTGTTAGCTAGGCTCAATGATGCCTGTCAGTATATTACCTCCTTCAAAATCCAATTTTCTCATCCATGTCAACTAACGAGAAAAAAACCTGGGTGCACAGAGGACTGCCTGTTTTCCTTGCGCGTCTGCACCCAGGCTTGCAAACCAGCATCAGCTTAAAAATCCTCACCTCACTCCTTGCAAGAACTTGTGACACTGTCACAGTAATATTGAAAGTACACATTGTACTAGCAAAGAGTTTCACAGGCTGCATACTGTACTCTGGCAGAGGGTCACTACATCATCATTCTGCAAGAACTAAACATTTAAATTTTTATATTAGAAGGATACCTGGAAAAGCAGAGTATGGCTAAATGAGCCAGCGTAGCAGAGATTCACTGAGTTCCTAAGACAACTATTGGCCAGAAAGACTTACTGAAATTTACACTGATGTTATTTGCTCTCAACAGGTCTGCAACATTCAGATAAGATTGGAGATACCAGAATAACAACAGTAAGGTGTTTGTGAAATTCCCAAAATAGCAATCCTTTCTAGTTAATACCTACTGCCTCTCACAAGTTACATGGATTTGAGGAGTGAGAGGCATGAGCAGCACTGAGTACGTTTATGTGTTCATTCTCTAAACAATAGGTATTGTATCACAGCTAAGAATGAACCTCGGTACTAACCACTCTTTTCACAGCCCCAGGCAACAAACCAATTTCAGAATAACCCAACTTATTCAGGTACTATATGATCCTATTCTTGAAACACTTGGAAATTTTAATATCAAACTTTAGTGCAATGTCAATACAGATATGGGTACACAGACGACACTGTGTGCCAGTCAGCAGGTGCAGATGCTCTAATAGGAGCTTGGCAAGAACACATCCCTATCCAAAGATCATTCAGGCTATTAGCATACAAACTATGCAGACATGCATCTTTTGAAAGGAAACAAAATACACAGTGCAGTTATAGATAAGTGCTTAAGTTATCCATTTCAAATTTCAAAATTTTTACTGTATTCCGTTTTAAATTAAATTATTTCATTCCTTTTCTCCAACAGGAGAATGCATGCATATTCCACAATACTGCAAAGCTATGAAAGAAAGTTCTATCAGAACAACAAGCCTGCAAAATTCAAACAGTATAACTCCTTTTGTAGGTTACCACATGAAACGGAAGGGATATAGAGATTGTATATGAAGTAACAGAGCCTTATCATGGTGTTCAGTAATTTACATTTAAGAATTAGGTTATTTTTATACTTAGGTGTTCCAGCTACTTAGTACATTTCAAAATCTAGCTTGACATGGATGCATAAAAGCAAACTTAACCAAAAGTGATTGCACCTATTTATATACCACTTTTCTGAATGATATATCTATATATGTCGTGTTCGAATTCATAACGCTTCATGAACAACAACACAGGGCAGTAACCATAAGCTGTTAGCTTCTGATTTCACCTAAAAAGCTTTGAGTAGTAGCAAGAATTTTTTTTTTTTAATTAAAAAAATCCTACACAGTCTTACTTGAGTAATGCATTCTCTTAAGACAAAAAGCACCACAAATCTGCACAGTCACTTGTTCTCACAAGTACTCTTAAAACCTGTAATCTAAAATTTGACACTGTTCAGACTCATACTACACACTGTATTACAGCTTTTAAATTTCAATACTAATGCAGGCTTAATAAGCAAGTTCATAAGGAAATACTAGTTTTAAAGAAATGTCTTTGGAAAAGCAGACGTGGTATATAGAACTGCCACTTCGTATTTAGAGTCAAATGTCTCTAATGTCTCAAGTATTTAGAGAGGATGTCTATTGCTACCCAAAGTTTGTCTCTGTTTGTTTTTTTTAAACAACAACAAAAATATCCTGTAGTAGAAAGTAATAATTCAGTATTTCCCAGGTTTCCTTTCTTTTCCTGAAATTTTTTTTCAGAAAGTTTGCATTCATAGGAAATTTGCTCTCATATTTTACATCCTCTTGTTTTGTTAACATCCATTTTAAGAAATGTAATAAATATCACCACAGTCAAGTATATTGGCAACTTGCCCCTACTGGATAGTGAAGTGCAAAGTCTATCAAGCCAGAAGATGTTAACTTTTGCCACTTCTGCTATAGGGTTTCACTTAAATCACTTCTGATCTATTCAGCCTGGAATGTCTACAACACAGAAGCCAGAGAACAAACTCCAGCACATTACGAGATGTATTTGGATGGCTAGTTTTCAGCACTACGGTTGAGCTCTTTGATGTCCCACTGAGCTTTAATTCTATTGCATAGGAAACTCATTGACGAATCATGTGCATGTTTAAAAAAAAAAAAAAAGGAAAAAAAAAAGACTTCAGGGCCCATCTCTGGCTAACAAAATTATTTTTCAATTAAGACCTTCCTTTTTCTACATCTTACGTGAGCTTTTTGTCTTACGTAGTTCAAAGCAATAACATTTTTATTTAAATACTCATGTTCTTTCCCAGTAGTAATAACTTTTTAATTCTTAATAGGTATTTCTCATAACCAAAGAACTGCTCACCTGGGGAAATGATGTAAAAAAAGTTTTTGAATTCATCCATCCAGACTTCTGCAAGCCGCCTGTTATTTTTGTTGATTATCTGCCCTGTACCTCCTGGAAAAGTGTATGGTGTTGCTTTTCTGAACACATGCCCGACATGTGAACAAGTTACAATTTCCAAAGTGCCACCACACTGCCAAATCTGAAAGTGATAGAACAATTATTGCATAGCTTCAATTAAAGTTAAAAAAGTTTAAAAATGTTAATCCCTTGCTTCTGTTCAAGTTGGAGAAACGACATTAGTTGAGGTCTAGAACAAATACATACTGCATGGAAAAGACTTGTATGCCTGTGTCCTGCTCATCAAAGATGCTTGCAAGCCTGAGTAAGGTAGCATAAGAAAGAGTACGTCAGGCCTTAAAGCAGTAACGCATCAGCAATAGACTACTTTAGAGAACAGGGCAAGCTGACAGCGAAGGAAGGAAAAGGCTCACATGAATCACAGGGCAGTAACAGGTGGTGATCTGTCCAAAAAAGTCCATTATAAAATAGAATCTCCACGTAAAAAACTCCATTCACTTCTCAAGTAAGGTTTCCGAAAAAATTTTCAATTTTATTTTGGACCTCTAAAAATGGCAGATTCAGAAAGCTGAACTACTTCAGAAGTATCCAACCTATATACTCTAAGCTGATAAGTAAAACAAAAGGAAATAGTGCTCTTTGGTAGGAATGAAAGTGAGAACAGTGCTGGTTAGGTCCACATCCAAACAAACACATGCAATCATTAAGTTAGAAAACAGCAAGAAGAGAGAGTCTGTAATAGAGGTGCTCACGTTTCACTGACACGTTAAACCATACACTGATGACATGACCCTTAACTTATGCTCCCCGATTAGCTTTTCTAACTGAACTCCTTTTAACACACATGCATTCATTTTTCAGAATGACCATCCCAATCTTTTAATCACAAGGCTCTGCCGACTATTCACCATGCACTTTTCACTGACAGATACTGTCTTTGCATATCTCCATTGGAGGAACTTGATGGGAAACGAAGTGCTAACTGCAACAGGAGAGGACACTGATGCAGGCAGCAGATCTGTATTTTACAGAACTCAAGATGCACTATCCTGAGTAATAGCACACTGAAAAGAGAAGAGTTTTACATACCCTGAAAGAAATTTCTAAGTTTTCTCCACCCCAAATATCCATTCCAGCATCATATGTTCCAATCTCCTGAAAGTAATCTCTGTCTATTGAAAAAAGACCTC